AAATTTTCTAATGAAATAAAAACTATTTTTCTTAAGAATAAAAATATATTCACTTTATTTTGTACTTCTTGTTATAAAAAGAAAATAATTTTCAAATAATTCAAATCAAAATATCTTGAAATATTTTAATAAACGAGAAACATGACAATTTAACATGTTCGTAAAAATTAAATTTAAAAACTTCGATCATTTCCATGATAACCAGATCACACGCATCTATTTACAAAAAAGAGAAAGGGATATTAAAAAGTTTTGAATATAAACATATGTGTTCTAAATGGTAAAACTTTCTAACATATACCATTAATATCAAACTTATACATGTTTATCTACGAATGAGATAAGTAGGAGGAATTTCGAACAACTTACAATTAGCCATAAAATGACAGTACATGTAAGAGTGCAAAGGGTTTTAATCACCTATTGTCGATTTCAAACAATTATCATACTAATAATTCAACGATTAATGATCTGATCGCCTTTTCCAAAAAAATATGTATTTAAAAAAAAAAAAAACAAGAACAAGCACAATACACAATCTTTCTAATTCTCACATTCGTTAAAGAATAACAAATATTTGGAAGAATGAAAAATCCGTGAAAAAAAAAAGAATTCAGGCAGCACGATTAGACTTTAATACAAATGAATATATATAAATATGTATGTGACAGATATTGTTCTTGTACATATCTCTTAGTGAATTCATTTTGGTGATTTCAATTGACAAACAAATACAGTGGAAGCTCCAGTATCCGACAATCTAGTATTCGAACATTCTACTATTCGCGTGGTCCACTATCGAAATGCTTTATTATCCGAACAGTGTATATATATTTTTCTGATTGTATCATTTAATATGAAAACAAATAATCAACGACTGTTTAATACAATATTATATCTTTCTTATTGTTCCAGTATGAAATTGATATTTAATACTTTTTCAACTTACGTCTAATGGCATCGAAAAAGAGTTGTGTGGTATCAAGTGTTAAAATAATACAAAAAATATTTTATAAACTGAAAAATGGTGAAAGTAAAATGAAAATTGTTAGAATGTAATTAATGTTTTACTATAAGAGAATTTCTTCATCCAATACAGTTATGTCTATCAATTTATTCGAATACTGGAAGTTCTACTGTACATGTAATAATATGTATGTGTATGCATTCGTCCAATGGCACCGATATAACTACGATTACGTTTAAAACTCGTAATTACATATACATGTAATAGTATGTATGTAATGTATTTGCAAATGTAATACTTACATGCAGATAGTGACAAACCATCGGTGATCCTTAAAAAAAAACAAAATATCGTGCCTTTCTTTTTATACGAATCGTTTAAGACTAAATAAGTTCGTTAGTTCAAGATCATCTAATCGTGCTGATTTCACAAAGATACCCGTGTCGTAGCACAACTGTGCATGTTGCTGTAAACAAATATATTTAAAAAAAAAAAGGAAGAAAACAAATAAGAAAATGAACAAGATAGATGAAACGTCGTTAAAATTAATTATGCTTTTCTTATGACTTTTCTTTCATTTAATCGTTAAGTTTTAATCGTATTTTTTTATTGTGCTAAGGTATCATGAAATTTACGAAATTATCGATCATTCGCTTTGTAAAAATTCAATTAGATTCTGTAATATGTAATTTAATTTAAGTTGAAATTATTTTATCAACATTTTTCTGCGAACTTCGAATTAAATTTAAATGAAACTTACGTATTTGTACATCGTTTATTATTTTATGAAATATAATGTGCTTCGTCTGGTTAATTAAAAATAAAAAAATTGTACACGAGCGTAATCTTGAAACTAATTAACACATTGATGATCAATCACGAGTATACTCGTGTGTTGCATATGCATGCTACAATTTATGCAATTATTAAATTATCAAATTATGATTTTCATTTTCAATTATACAAATATAACCGTAATTCAATCCATTACTTTTTTGCATATATTATTATGATTATTATTATATTTTATTTAAGTAATTCCGATCAACAATGTGATAGTATCTGCAAATATTTATCTCTATCTTTTTGGGTTTTTCTACACGATTTCTATTCCAAATCGAAAAGGCGAGTTATTATGAAAAGTTGTATTTAGGACACGAGAAAGCAAATTTATCGATACATATATTTAAATATGATAAAAAAAAAAGTTTGAATCAACGAAAGAGACTCCTTCTTGCGTCCTTTTATCTCGAAAATCGATCGAGATTCTTGTAACTCGATTTTCAAATGGGGACATTGTAAGTGATATGAAACATTAATAATAAAATAAATGATTACGGTAACAACCCATATGAATGAATTTTAAAAAATTATTTGCGTGACCAAACCTTTGTCTTCTTTTGCTTCATTTTGTTTATCATTAATTGTTTTAATACACGCAAATATGAAATTTACTCACAATATTGTATCTCACGTTTTCTTTCTATTAATTTTATATAAATAAAAAGCAGCGAGAGAGTAGCTCACAATCAGTTAAACAACTCATGCAAGAAGTTCAACGATTCGTTTGTTTAAGAGAAATCACTTCGCTTCTAACGCATCATGAAAGTATTTAATTTAACTAACAATAAGAAGAAATGGAAATTTATTGAAATTCTTCATACGTTAAAATTGTTCAAAAATTTATCTGTTATTAAGAAAACAATTATAGATTTGTTATTCGAAAGGATCAATTTGAATTACGCGAACAATCTACGTTTTTATCAACGTCCTGTAGAGAAGTATAGGGCTTTTTAATTACTATACATTTTATTTTGCATTATCATTAATTACATATTTTTACTAATTAAAAATATGTCTGTTTAGAATTGTTTATTTAATTGTCCACATAGTGACAATAATCGGCATGTCATTTATAATTTTTGAAACGACTTTGGAATTTCAAGATAGTCCTACAGTAGCCACTGTAGAAACCGATAAATATCCGATGCAAGAAATTAATTATCCAGCGATATCTATTTGCAATATCAATAAAATAAGTTTATTGTCTGCCATCGATCTTGCGGAAGAACTGTATGCATATTTTATGATTAAATAAAAATTGTCTAATAATTTATATAAATTACTTCATTATTTAAATTATAGTTTAGAATTTAAAACAATACAATACAGTGTTAATTTGACTGTGGAAAAATTGACTAATCTGATAACAACTTTGGGAAATCTTTATCACTTTGATATCGATGAGGATGAGTTAGAAGAAACTTATTTGTTGCACACTATACTTGAACGAGGATACAACGACTATAATGTTGACAGACTAATGAGAAGGGTATTAAAATTAATATTATTTATACAAATGTATAATTTTAATGTATATTTATTTTTTAATTTTTATTGTAGCTATTACCAAAATGTAGATCAATTTTATGACAGTGTTCTTGGAACGGCAAAGACCAAGATTGCAATGAAATTTTTATTCTAAGAATAACGAACAATGGCTATTGTTGTACTTTTAATTCTGCACGACGCGTTGATTTACACAAGTTAGTTTAATTTATTTAAATATTCTTCCTGTAAAATTTAAATTAATATTTACAAAATATTTGATATATATATATACAGCAAAGATTCTTTCATATTTACATCCAAAACGATCAAACGTTCTAAAGAAGCTGGTTCAGAATATGGATTGTCTGTATTATTAAATCCTCAGTTATACGATTATGCTTACAAACTTTTACCAATACAGGGTTTCAAGGTATGTTAATAAAAGTAAAATTCAGTAAAAATTGTATGTTACATCTTAGGATTTTTTCAATACAAATTTAAGATACAATTTTGTTGTAGATATTGGTGTATTCATCTCTTGATTATCCTAATGCACTAAACGGTGGAGTACGAGAAATCTTCGTTCCACCGAAAGTAGAAATGTTTTTGAATTTAGACGCTGTCTCCTTTTATTCCATACCAGTAAGTTGATTATTAATAAAATCAAAATTCAAAATAAATAGATTTATTTTTACTTACAGGATGTTATAAACTATGATATACAAGAAAGAGATTGTTTATTTAGCACGGAACAATCACGCACGTTCGGGGGATATTATTCGTATACGGATTGTTTATCTTATTGTCGTACACGAGATATTATCTCCTTTTGCAAATGCGTTCCTTTCTTTTATCCAGTTACTCCCGATATGGGTAAGAAAATATTTATTAATAAATATAAATAACAAATATCTAAATTAATTCGTTTGGGTGTTTTTCTTTAGGTAATATAAGAAAATGCAATCTCAAAGATCTAACGTGTTTAAAGAAATATAAAGGTTTGTAAATAAAATTTCTTCATGTGTATTTGTTAATTTTTTTTAAATTTATTTAAATTATATGTTCACATTAAAGAGAGATGGTTAAATCTGAAGCCTAGAAATGAAAAACTGATGGTACCATTTAACAATACGAAGATTCCAGTAGAATCTTGCTGCATATCTTGCGATTGTCTTCCATCTTGTGAAGACATTACGTATACTGTGTCCACCAGCGATATTCCATTAAATATTCCATATTTAACTTGGAATAGGTAATACGAAAAAATGTGAAAAAAAAATTAGTTAAATAGAAATAATGAAATTAATTGAAATCTATTTTAAATAGAAAAAGAACTTATATCAATAATCACAGTTTAGTGCATATCTATTTCGGATCTCCTAGAACAACAAAAATAAGACAAGATATGCTTTTCTATTGGTATGAACTAATGAGTAAGTGTTAAAAAATTTGTAATGCGTCATTAAGTTCCAAATTATTATTATTATTATTATTATTATTATTATTATTATTTTTATATTATTATTATTATTATTTTTATATTATTATTATTATTATTATTATTANTATTATTTTTATATTATTATTATTATTATTATTATTATTATTATTATTATTATTATTATTATTATTATTATTATTATTATTTATCATGATATATTTATAGGTAATTATGGAGGTATATGTAGCTTATTTTTGGGTCTTAGTATAATCAGTTTAATCGAAATGGTTTACTTTTGTATTATGCGTTGCATCAATTTTTTATTTGAACCATCATCAGTGGAGTCAACTAATTCAGGAAATAATGTTCCTATTACAACGATTAATGTTGAACCTAAAGAATCACAAACGGTGGTCTTGTATTGGAAAGAAATAAGCGGAAAAATCTCTAAAGAAATTAATCTAACGTTTCTGCCTTTAGATGGATAAAGGAATTTAACAGATAAATCGATGTTCTAACAACGATCGTCACATTCAGTAATGTTCGGTGGTGAACAGACACTATGTTTTACTCCAAAAGAATATTGCGGTGAGAGATCTAATTTTGTAGGATTATATTTAGGTCCTGGACTCCGACAAATGTCTTTGTAGGATTGTAAAAGACCTATACTGAACATTGGTGATACTGGTTTAATTATATCCAAATTATATGGCGCAGAAGGTCCAGGTCCACCGACACATTTAACATCAGGAATTTTTAATCCTCTGTAAAAATAAAATTATACAGAATTTATAATTAATTAGATAAGAAAAAGTATATTAGTGTACACTTACATGCTAAAACTAGGTCCATGAAAGATGTGCTTGACATTATAAGGTCCAGGTGTTACACAACTTTTTTTGTAATCTGTGCGCCACTTTAGAGAAAACATAGGACCGCTTCTAGGAGATGGTAAAGAATATTTCGGACCAGGACTAACAGTTTTATCTGTAATCCACCAAAATAAGACAATTTTTATACTATAATATACTTTCGATAAGTACAAGGAAAATACTCAAATAGCTATGAAATTAATTACCAGTGATTTTTAAAGGAAATCCAAACTTAAAGCCATTTGGTTTCAATCCTGGAAGCATATACTTTGGTCCAGGACTTCTACACAGATCTTCAGAGATTTCTCTCAGACCAAATGTAAATGCCGGATTTCTATACTTCGAGACGCAATGGTCTTTGTGACCAACGAGCGTTTTCAATTTGTATTTTGGTCCTGGAGCTTTGTTTTAATCAATGTTTAGAAAATTAATGCGACCGCTATGTAAAATAAAATCTAATATCTTCAAATAGAATTCTTACTGGATACACCGCAAAATGATACATCCGTTGTCTTAGCAGGTTTTTTCATATCACCGGCTTTATTCGCGGCATTAGCCGCCCTGGGAGGCATTGTTATAAATTTCAAATTAATTTACATATTTTACAGGAAAATTTTTATCTATTAAAAGTGAAAATATTGAACTTGAAATTATGTGAAATTATGTCAACTTCATTTTGATTAGAAGAAAAAAAACAATTGACAGTCCGATTGGATCTACCAAATTTGTGTATACACATTTATACATGTATATATACGTAGATACACATAATTAAATAGGAATATACATATCTGATTGAAGACACATCACATTTATTAAACACAAGGTGTAAAAACATATAAAATTATTATACAATTTGTACAAAATCTCGTCGATCCAATCAACGCAAAAGCGCGTGCATATTCTTCTTTCCGTTCAATCTTCGTCTAAACTCGTAATAGGATTCCCTGCACATTCACTGTGTCTAACACCAAACGAAAATTTAGGAGCACGTCTTCCAGTATTAAAAGTAGGATTATAACGTGGTCCTGGACTCAGATAATCTTCAGGAAGTTCGTGACGCCATTTAAAACTGTACATTGGATTGCGTTTCTTTACAATATTTGGATCAAGATTCGCATAAGCCGCTGGACCTGGACTTAAAGTTTCTAATGGAGGTTCGTAATACCCACCACTTGAAAATAAATAATATATTATTTATTAAAAAATAAAAGAATTAATTATGATTAATTGAATATAACAAAATATACACACATGGTATAAGCAGCTTGTGCTCTCTTATCTGGTATTTTAGAACCTATACATGTTGGTATTGTGTAAGCATTTGGTCCAGGCCCTTCAAGAATTTGCAATGCTTGACCTTTAGATTTGATGCTATAAGCAGGAGCTCTACGACTATGATTCATTGGTAGACATTGTTCAGGCGAATATGCGCCAGGTCCTGGCCCTAAATCTAAAACTATAAGAGATTACATCTAATTTAACCATAATATTGAATGTATCTTATATATAATTCTTATAGTTAGAAAGCATATATATTTGCAGATTAATCTATTTCATATTTTTACTTGGATCAGCATATTTAATGGCTATCGTATATGCAGGTGGTTTGTCTATTCCAAACTTTGTTAATTTCTGGATGTTATAACGTGGACCAGGACCAACTGATTCTTTTTCTAATCCTACATAATATCTTATACTATATGCTGGACCTCTACGTTTAGATGGATCATGTCCAACATGTCCAACTAATGATGGTAATTTATAAACTGGTCCAGGACCTAAGTTAAAACATTTAGTAATAACAAATGTTCTGAGGTTATTGTTACAATGTATAAATGAATTTAATTTATATACTTCTGGTTAGACAATCAACTTTGGGTTTACTCTCTACGTTTTCCATTTGTTAGTAAATTTCTATTAAAAAAAAAATGCAAAGTAAAAATACATAAAACTTAAAAGATTTTCAAAAATGAAAATAAAAAATTTACATATAAGGGTACATTATAGTAAATCATATAAGACTATAGTGAATCTAGTATAGAGTTATATGTAGCAATATTCACAGTAGTTATTGTCAACTGTATTGTAAAAATAATTTAATATAATACTATAATTATGATTAAAGAAGAAATTTAATCTAATATAATAGAATAATACAATTTATAATTTACAAATATATTTTTAAAATATAAAATATCTACATAACTCTTCCAAATTATAATTATTCATATGATCTACTCTAAATTATTATAATTTGCCAGATTATAATTTAAATCATTTTTTAATTTTTTATCACATCATCTTCCGAATCATCTTCCAAATTATCGCTAAAATCATCTTCCGAATTATCAGTAAAATCATCACTACAATGATCTTTCTTAACTCTTAAATCTTTATTTAAAGATGATTTTTCTGTATTCTTTTCGTTCTCTTCTTCGTCATCGCTTTCTTCTGAATCTTCGTTCTCATCATTAGTAGTTTTAGAATCAATGTTCTTTGAGTTACCTAAATGAAATAAAATATATGTATAATATAGTTATATGTATAGAATCTTTAAATATTGGAATATTAATTATAGTTACAATTACGATTCATAGATCTTATAATCGTTCTTCGTTTCCTTTCAGGTAATTGTTTCAAGAACATCTGTGTCTCCGCATCCAATTTCATAATTTCTTCTTTGTTTGGTTTAGCTTCTATTATTTCACGCTTTTCACAACACTTAGGACAAACTTTATGATCTTTTGAGCAGGGTAGACACATTGTATGATAAGCGTGCCTAACTGTTTTTTCTTCGCACTTAGTGCATTTAGCTGGTGCCTTGAGAGGCTTATATTTTTTGTATTTAATCTTCCACTCAATTATTTTTTTACATCTTTCGCATACATTTGCTACTTCTATGTTATTAATAAATTTAGTTTTGTGAGATTTGTCATGCAGATCATTCTTAAAAACAGTTTGATTTTTATATTTCTGAGGCCTGGACCGTTTCGTATTTCCTTTCTGGCAACTCATATTTGTGTTATTTATTTATTTATTCATATATATAATATTATCCTGTAATTCATACAATATTTTATTTAATTACTAAATAATTCACATTGTTTGTTATATATTTTGAGATTATTAAAAAGTAGTATCTTAAATAAATTAATTTTCTGTAATTAATTTATTATTTAGTAAAGATAAAAAAAAATTAGTGTATATATAAACACATATGGCGTGTATACATACTCTTACCTATTCAGTGAAAAAAATAAAGATAAAAATACACAATATCATATGTTTGATATTAGCACTAAGTTTCCATGATTAGATATTACTTTTAATCCACATTGCGAGATAAATGACCGGATGCCAGCTTAAAGGCTCGGTTTTTTAACCTACTACAATCGATTGATTTTATTGGTCTCTACTAGGTTTAAAATTTCTAAAATATTTATTATATAAATTATTGTATATATACAAGTATTACAATAAATGTTGTTTGCATATACATATTATCTTTAATTGAAATGATATTTACATATATTTAACATGATTTTAATTTAGTGTAATATTTAGTTTGTTTATATCCACGTATTCAATGTTAATACGATACGAAGATAGTGATTAAAAAAAAATACTTTATTGACTATATTTTTATTTTTTTATGTTAAGAACATATATACTTATTCCTCACATATTATTCGAATATAATAAATAACAAAAAAGATCTTCAACACGAAATAAATGACGACTGTGTATAAGAAATAGCGAGCCAATCAGCAGTAAGTAAGAGAAGTTCTTGCACGTCATTGGTCGACGATCATAATAAAGAAACTTTATATATTTAACAGAAAAATTTAAATTTTCATTAAGTAAAAAAACATATTTCATCTATCTATTAAATATATTATAGATATTATATAGATAATGACGAATTTCGCGAATTGTGTGAGAGAACCAGGCGCAGAACGATACCGTGGCTTTCGGACTTTTTGAACCTCTTTAAATAAACGTCTATTTAGACCCAAATTATTTCGTGGTGATTTTCTAATAGTCGATTTACGAACTAAAAGATTCACTTCGAGTTACTGTATAATATAGAGATCGTGTCAAAGTTAAAAAAATAAAAGAAAACGAAACAAATTATACAGAAAGATAACTACGTCAAAATACATATAACAGAAAGGATTATTATCTACTATTTATATATATGCATATACATAATATATATACATATTTTATCCCATCGCGTCTTCATTTTGATTGGTTCATAGTATAAAATAGTGGGGGAAGGATGTTAGGTTAATCTATAAAAGGCGACGCGCTGCGGGATCATACGTATTCGAGTTGTTGTATAAGGTTTTGAGTAGTTCGGCGATTTATCTTCGAGACTTTGAAAGTAAAATCAATTTATAATGACTGGTCGTGGTAAGGGAGGAAAAGGATTGGGAAAGGGAGGAGCTAAACGCCATAGAAAGGTTCTACGTGATAACATCCAAGGTATTACCAAACCAGCTATTCGTCGATTAGCTCGACGTGGTGGTGTCAAACGTATTTCTGGTTTGATATACGAAGAAACACGCGGTGTACTTAAGGTTTTTCTTGAAAACGTTATTCGAGATGCTGTCACCTATACCGAACACGCTAAGAGAAAAACTGTTACCGCCATGGACGTTGTCTATGCATTGAAAAGACAAGGCAGAACCCTTTATGGATTTGGAGGTTAAACGAGTAAAAATGACATTGGCTTATTTAATCGGCCCTTTTCAGGGCCACAAATTTATTTATCTTACAAAGGAACGGATATATCGCTTTCTATATGTATCATTATGTATATGAAATCAATCATTTGAAAAAATACGTTAACGTCTATTCTTTTCTTATCGACCCATCTGATTAAACGAGAAGTTCAATTTTATTGTTTATTTATTTGTGTTTTATATTCAATATCATCTAATTAGCTTATGACACATTTATATGTATAATATATATATATATATATATATATATAATTTATTGTATAATTAGGTTTATTAAAATGATGAAAATGAAAGATATTATTTAGAGCTAGTAAAAGAGAAAAGTGAAAAAATGCATCTATATGTACATATCGATGACTAATTAAGATTAGGTTGTTGATTGTTCGATAACCTTCGAGAGCTTTCTTTAAAGATGGCGCTGATGCAAGCAAACTAAGCATTTCCTTTACATGATTTAATTATGAGAAATAAAAACTAGATTTAAAAAAAGACTAATATTATTAATTTTTCCCGTAGAATATATTTTAACATTCAAAGCTTATATTTTATTAATATTAAATACCGTAATTTTTTAGTTATTCCATGGATAAAAAGAGATCGTATATTTTCTAAGATAGTTGAGTTACTTGTCGCAATTTATAAGTGTTAGCACGTACTGAATCACATCAGTTACATTCTAAACTTCACCAAGAATACTCGTCATAATGAAACAAAAATGGACGTTAATCGTCCCTGTGATATTTTTATTGTCACCATTGACGTTACAACTTAATTTATTTAATCGATTTCATTTAACACAAATGGTTAAAGGACACCATAACAATGAATTTGGCGCGAAATATAAATACGAAATCAAAACTTTTGAAGTTCCTGTAAGTGTGTGTGTATATTTATATATAATTAATTTATAATTAATTTATATATTAATATATATAATTATATATTCGTAAATTACAAATTTTAGTAATTTACAAATGTAATATATTATATATATTATTATATATATTATTATTATTATTTATTAATATTATTTATTAATAGTCATTCTTGTTCAAAGGCTTAAGAATTAATACAGAGTTTAATAATATACATATATATATATATATATAATTTTTTATATATTTATTTATTTGTTTGCAGGTAGATCATTTTAGTTTTGCAGTAAAAGATAAATTTAACATCCGATATCTCGTTAACGATACATGGCGACGCGGGAACAATGCACCTATTTTTTTTTACACGGGAAATGAAGGTGATATCGAAGTTTTCGCCGAAAATACGGTAATTATAAAACTTTATACTTTTTTTTTACATATTTAATTTGATTTAAGAGAAATTAACAAGCATTTAATTTCAGGGATTTATGTGGGAAATAGCACCGGAATTTGGTGCAATGGTGGTTTTTGCAGAGCATCGATATTATGGTTCATCCATGCCATTTGGAAATAAATCATTTACCAATCCTGCACATTCTGGATATTTGACCTCCCAACAAGCTATTGCTGATTACGTTGATCTTATCGAATATTTGAGATCAAATGAGGTCAGAAAGCACAGTCCTGTTATTGTTTTCGGTGGTTCATACGGCGGTATGCTCAGTGCATGGATGCGTTTGAAATATCCTCACATTGTTCAAGGGTGGGTGTGTTATTTCAGAAATAACAACTCTCGATGATTCATATTTATTTTTTATAGACATCATTTTTCTTTCGCTTTATCGGCTACTTCATTAATCTTACACATATTAATCTTTATAACATAGTTTAATTTATAACAGGAAAGTTGCTTATATTAAATTATTAATATAGCGATGATAAAACACGTTAAACGGTAAAGAAAAGAAAGAAACGATAAACGAAGAAATAAACATTGTTATTATCTTTTTGTTTACGCGTTTAGCTTCGGATATTATCTGTTGTTAGTTTCTTCAATAACTTTTAAATGATATTTCATTATATTTATATATTTATAGAGCTATAGCAGCGTCAGCTCCGATTTTACAATTCACTGGTATTACTTCTTGCGAATCATTTGCACGCATAGCAACGTCCAGTTATCGTGCGGCAGATGAAGCGTGTCCGAAATTAATTAAAAGATCATGGAATGTAATAACTAATCTCACGTCGAACGGTAAACTGATGGATATATTTCTTTTCTGATATCTTTTAACTTTTATTTTAATTTTGTGTTTTTATTAATAGACGAGGGTAAAAAATGGTTGTCAGACAATTGGAAATTATGTAAGCCGCTTAAAAATTCAACGCACGTTGAGGAATTACAAGCTTTCTTGGAAGATGTTTATGGAAATATCGCGATGGTTAATTATCCGTACGAAACTAACTTTCTAGTACCATTGCCTCCCAATCCTGTAAAAGTAAGAAGAAATTATTTATGGTGGTGATTACAAAAGTGATCTAATTAAAAATGAATGCGAGGAATAGATTAATATTATGATATTTATTTTTGTTTATTTATTCTTTTTAGGTTTTCTGCAGTCATTTAACGAACTCGTCATTAACAGGAAAACCATTGTTAACTGCATTGTACAAAGCATTAAGTATTTTCACGAATTATACTGGTCAAGCAACTTGTACGGATCCAACGAATACTTCAGGAAACTTAGGAGCCGATGCTTGGGATTATCAAGCATGCAGTGAAATTGTTACGGTCCTTTGTAGCGATGGAGTTAACGACATGTTTAGATTTGAACCTTGGGATATTAAAAAGATAAGCGACGAATGTTTTAAGAAATATGGTATACGTTCCAAACCATATATGGCTTGTAAAGAATATGGTTGTAAGAATCTTTCAACCGCGACTAATATTGTTTTTAGGTAAGTTTTGTAGATAAATAATGTAACTAATCTGATACACGAGAAATTTATTTCCTTTTATTTAGCAATGGATTGATAGATCCATGGTCAGGTGGTGGCGTATTATGGAATTTGTCTTCCTCCGCAATTGCTGTGATTATTCCCGAAGGTGCTCATCACATTGATTTGAGAGCTAGCAATCCTAGAGATCCTTACAGTGTTACATTAGCAAGAGTATATCATCGTAATTTTATAAAACAGTGGATCAAGGAATATCAAGAACAGAAACATAGAATATTGGTAACATAATTTTCTTTTCTTTTCTTTCTAATAGATGCTGTTTTATGCGAAAGTAGTTCTATATAAAACAACTGTATGTGTATATGTCATCGTTAAATTTTATTTTTTAAATTATAAATACAAAGGCAGCATACGCAGACAATTATAATTATTAAAATCTAATTATCGTGATTCTTATATTACGTGTAAATAAAGTGCAGAAAAAGAAAAACATTCGAAATAATATAAGCGTTTCATTATCACAGTACTTAATAAATGCATTATAAGTAACTACAAAAGATTAAAGAGCATAAAAAGTATATGAGATAATAAATATTGTTGATGTTTTAAACGCATTGTCAATTCAGGCTCGATAATTGAAGGGCTTTATAACCATTTTTTTTTGTTCTTTTTATTTTTTATTTATTTTGGTTCGCTTAGATTCTTTTGGTTCGATCAAAAATATATATCATTCGTTAAAACCTTGCTATAATTCTATTATTTTAATTCAATGGCTTTTTTAAACGACATATTATAGTAAGACAGAGATAAGAACATTGATCAATCGATTTAGAGACGGGGACGAGAAATAGGTTTTATACATTAAATAAATAAATTAGTGATAGTCTATACCAAGTTAACAGGGAAATCTTGATATTGTTGAATTACAATACGTCTCTAATTGTAAGAGTATTTGTTCTCACATACACGCGGACTTTATCGAGACGTGTTGTTTATCAAAAATCTCTTATACGATGGTAATGTAAAAACATGTAATAAATTTTTTCAGCTGTTATTAAATATCTTGACATGCATCAATAATATCCTACTTGCCTTTGAGGCATGATATTTATTAGGTTTTTATTTCTAATAACACAGGTACTGTATGATAAACATACTTTTCTTCTCTATTATAATTCTTTTTTTTCCTTTGGAAATGATCTGTGTCAATACCATGATAAAAGGGAAAGATATTGTATATATTGAAATTAGTATTCATTTAAGTTTCATTATTTGGTCTGCATCTTGCAATTTTTTCTATTGCATCACAGAATAAATATGTAACAATTTGTTATAATTACAATTGATGTACATAGAAAAATTTTTAAAAATTTAATTAAAATAGGACAAATTGATAGAAATAACAAGGAATGATATAGAATGAGTTTGCGATCATTAATATCATCGTATTATAATAAATATCTCGACGCGTGTAAAAGAATATTTAAAAAAAATGTTCATTTAAGTATTTCAAATAAATTCGATTAAAAAGATTCTTCAAAAATAATTTGAAGAGAAATATAACTATAATTATACGTAAGAATATCACCGTACTATTGCATGAAGCACACATCGAAGTGACTCTATGTACTCTATATAGCAATACTACTGGATAAGTTGAAGAGTCACCTCGTTTAATATATGTGCTACAATGTGCATAAGTTGACGTTAGAAATTATCACATTGAATAAAAAATAAATAAATAAATTTGTTACTACTTATTAAAAAAAAGTATTTAAAAAATGCTAAGTAAGATTTGAAATACCATTATTATTTCATAACCTAATATTCCTTTAGTGTGGCGTACGTCGATGAGCTGTAGTTGGTCGTGGGACACCGGAACGATTTCTTATTTTTTTCGGTTGTATAAACGTAGTATCCGTTCTTGTGTTATATGTAAGATATATATTTGACATATCAGGTTGTATTTGCTATAAAAATACAAATAAATTAATTTAAATACAAATTAATTTAAATACAAATTAATTTAAATACAATATTGTTTTAAACAACTTACATCTCTGTTATTTCCAATAGGCGGTATTACCTGTGATTTACGCATATTATTACCGGTATATGCTACACACTTTAATTGCCATTCGCCAATATCATCGTTCCAATGAACGTATCTTTCAATCATAGTCTATAATACGTATAAATAATAAACTCGTTAAAACAATTATTTAAGACTTTCAAATATAAATTTAATACATAATATTAATTGATATATACATACTTGATACTGTAATGGTATATAGTTATTCACAATTAATTCGTGAAGTTGTAATTCTCTTCCGATATCTCTAACACCTTCTAAGAGACCTTCCATTTCTCTTTGATGTTCTTGTTGCAAATCGGATAATTCAGCTTTAACGGACATAAGCATTGTATAAACTCTAGCTAATTTTTTAGTTTTTCCAGCTGCTTCTTCCTGCAAAGAGGAATATTTTTCTTCTATGTCTATACGTTCCGCTTCTTTCTCTTCTATAGCTTTCTTTAATTGTTCCTCTCGACTTTTACGTTGATCAAGTTCGATAGCTGCGGCAGCCAATAATTGTTCCTGGGCTTCAGCTTTTTCTAACAAATTTTCACCACCGACTAATATTTTATTTTGTAAATTTTGCATTTTTTGTCTTAAGGCTTCCTTTTCACTTCTGTAAAATAGAAATTCTCGTTAGGTGGTACAATATTCTATGCTTTTTTTTATACTTACTGTGTCCTTTTTAATTCGATAACATCTTTATCATCTGGACTTTTGTCATCTCTTTCTGCTTTATCGGCTTTTTCCGTATTTACATCTTTGTCGCCTAATTCTTCCATTGTTAACATTTGACTTCTCCTGTGTCTTGCTTTCTTCTCGCGTCGTGGTTCTCCTGTATCTTCTGAATCTTCCGTTTCAGATTCTGTTTCTGATAATTCTGTGATATTTTCTTCAAGTTGCTTTCGTAATTGTTCAATTTCGACTTGGAATTGACGAAGCAAAGCATCCTTAGGATCTTCGTTTATTCTTGCTCTATTCTTTATATTCTTAGCACGATTAGCATAACGTAGAGTACTTATAGTTTCATCGTAATTTATATCAGCAGGACTTACATTTGCACACTAAATAATCATAGAATTATATTTTAACACGTACAATACTATATTCAGTTTTTTATTCACTTTGAATGAAATCTTTAATAAATACATACCATCAATGTTTTAGAATTACCACCCAAAGAATCTTGAAGCAATCTTGTCAATTTTGAATTTCTGTAAGGCACATGAGAGCTTTGCCCATCAACAAGAGCAGATATTACATTACCCAGTGTTGACAATGATAAATTTATTTTAGTTGCTTCTCTAAGTCTTACTCCACTTGCTTTTGTTTTACTTTGTCTTTCAGAACCCTAAAATATAATCACTTTATTATATATATTCCTAACACAAAATTTTATATCAATTACGTACAGCTAAATCCACTAAATGGAGTTTTCCCATTTTAACATGTTGCTCTCCATCTTCGCCAAGTTGACTGGATTCAACAGTTATTGTAAATATAGCATGAGATCTAGAGCTGGAAACATTCATAGCAGTTGCTCCCACGATGCCTGCAAAGGTAAAATATTTTTATTTCGACTTAATGTCTTATTTATATTTTAATATATTTTGTTTTTTTTTTTTAAATAAGAAAGACATTGCACTCACGATTCTTATTGCCAAGTGACATGATGCGATCTAAATCATCAGCATTATTAACGACATAGCCACTAAGATCTTTCACGAAGACTCCAATATCAGGTCGTTCCTTGACCTCTAATCGAGTAGTTTGATCTTTGCCAAGAAGATCTCTTACTTCTTCGTTGTAAATTTCCAAGTATGTTGCACGTACAAGGAATCTGTAAAATGGAATACTGTAATTTTCATCATTCAAACATACTATCATTAAACTTACTTTTGATTCTCATCTGCTTTAGCTATGTGCCCAAATATATGAGCAAAGGTATTGGGTATAACACCTCTAAGTTGAGGAGGAGTCTTAGCACCTGACATTGTATATGTTTTACCAGTACCAGTTTGACCATATGCAAGTATTGTTCCATTATATCCTTGCAAAACTTTATCAACGATAGGTCTAGCGGTTTCATTGTAAATATCGACTTGAGTAGAATCCGTATCAAAGACAGCATCGAAAGAGAAAACTTTGGGGGGTTCGCCATGAACCGCATTTGGATTGTTAACAGTTATTTCGCTATTCAATGTATCAACCTTTATTATGTTTTTGCTGTGTCCGTCCAACTCCTTTCCATTTAATGGCCGAACACGAACAACGACTCTGACATTTTCTATCTCTCCCAGTTCTGCGACATTATCCTACATGAAATAAAAAATAAAATTGTATGGTAGAATTAAAATATTGAAAGTTGAAAGTTGAAAGATAATATAATTAAATATATTGAAAAAAAAATTCAAAAAAAAAATATTAAATTAAATTTAATAATACAAGTGTAAAATGAATTGCAATTATCTATCATCTTTTATCTTTTTTTTTCTCCTCCTGTCAAAATAACGTATACAATAGTTGTCAAATTTCAACGGGACAAACGTCAAACGACGAATGCAATTATCTACTCGATAATACTCGTTATTATAAATAACATATTGTTAAAAAAAGTATACTAACTCCCGTTCCCGGCATTGCAGTACGGTTGATCGACGCGTAACGGTTACATAAGAAAAAAGAACAATTTTTTAAAGCATGTTATTTTATTTTTTAAACACTGACAGACCAAGCAAAGGACTAGCAGACAACCTCAGTAAACAAATGGATCGATCTGTGTAGTTACACAGTTGCGAGTATACGCATGACGGAGAACGTCATCGTTTTATTCCTAGAGAAAACATCGAATTCCCTAGATTTTAGTGTTTTCTTCTTTTTATTTTAAATTGTTTATAAATAAAAGCTAAAAAAAAAGACCAAAGATAAAATCAAAAAAATATTATATCAATGAGTATTGGACAAATATTTTTTACTTATTACAAATATAATTTAATATTTTTTAATCGAAGGACACGTTAGAATTCAACGAAACGTCTTTATTCTATTTTATTTCATATTTCATATAAATTCCCATTTTTTTTTATATTAAATGATTAATAAATAAAAATGATCAAAATAATGATAATAATAAAAATAAATTATTGAATGTAAAAAAGAGTATATTCTAGCATTTATCGCAAGTGCATTCTAAGATTTTACAATATAAGACAAGTTAGAATTCAACAAAGCAATTACAAACCCCCTCGATCACAGATCTCGATATTTTAACATTTAAATCAATTTTTAACAAATTAATACTTTTCTTAATTACTCAATTATATTTCTAAACTATTTTTAAACTTAAAAATTGTTGGATAAGGTGTCTTGCTGACTAGAAATTAGGAAATTATATAATTTTTCTTTAAATAACTATAAATTATATTAG